AACCGACCCTCTCTCAGGAACATCCACGTCCCGTGTCTGAGAACAATCATTCACAGTAAACGCCAACGGAAGTTAGGATTCCAGAATGAAATTCCATGGGGCTAGGCTTCCGTGGCTTCAGGGAAGTGGGCCGCTTCCATCGCGAGGCCGCGCGCCGTCTCGAAAAGGCTGTTCAAGTTAATTGCTCATCACCGGACCGATTCAGATATTAACTTACGAGCTAATCTAGCCGGGAGCCTCGTAATCTACCGGCGGCTAATGAAAATAAAGAGAGGTCGTTGGACCCTCTCGGGAACGCGGTGCAGCGGCGACGTGCCGCGAGCGAGAGAGCGAGCGAGCGAACGGCAACGAAGTCACGTTCCTCCGACGACAATGAATAAAAGGGCACTCCGCTGGATTGCCCTTTAATAACTCGCCCGGACCACGTCCATTATGTACACGTTCCACGTTGCGCGTCTGCCGAACGGAGCCGGAATATCGCGGGGTAGCCGCTTGCGGGAACTTTCACCTTAATTCCCGTCGACCGAGCGCCGGGACGACGTTTTACCTTGTTCTTGCACGCGATCGGTCGTCCTAGCTGGACAATTATCCGACGGTTTCGCTGGCACGCGAGAGTCTCGTGACCAATCGAATATTCGCGTGGAAGGCACCGCTCGAAGACGACTCGGTGTTTAGAGGAATGGCACTGTGGGAGGAGTCTTTAACCGAGGATCTTGTTTAACCGTTCGAGTACCAGAGGTTTTTAAAGAAAACCCGGTCGGAAAAAGCCGAACAGCGCAATAGCGCTTTCTGAATGGAATGTAAAAAGATCCAAACGACGCGATAGTGCTCCTTTTATTCTATGTCGAGAAAAGCCAAGCAGCGCGGAAGCGCTTGTCTTAACCTATGTTAATACTATTATATATATATATATATTAATTTATAATAGGTATCAACGAAACACAAAATGTATTACTTGGATTACTTATATGCAAAAAAAGTAACGATGCGATGTACATGCGTCTGAAAAGTTGAGCGCGTTTCGTTAGATTGTAAGTGCGCCGTCAGTTGTCCGTATCGTTCAAATGCGCTTGGTTTTTTCGACATGAAATCTGAAGAGCGCGGATGCGGCGTGTGAGACTCAAACGGTTAATGTTTTGATTGATTATGAGCAATTATCGACGAATAGCAAATTAGGATTGAAAATGGGACGAGTAAATACACATATGAAAATTGGACAGTAAAGAGTTCGAAAGATGATTATAGCTTTGATTAGTTATGTATTGACGAATAGGAAATTAGTATCGAGAATGAGATGGGAACAGATGAAAAAGCTGGTCAATTAGATACGCATGCCTTCTGGATGGCATCTTCTGAAGCAACACATGGGATATAGATGACGAGTTAGTTAGCGGAACTAGCCCATTATAGTGCTTCAGCGATTTGTGAATGCGACAGTTTCAACGAAAGGCACTTGTGAAAGAAGCCAGAGCTATTAGGATTGAAACGGTGGTGGGGCAATGGGGCAGCAATCAGACCCGCATTCCTCTGGCTAGCCAACTTGTTATCTTCTTGTACTCATCTACGCATTACACTTTGTCTAGTAGGGAACACGAAGCTATGAACTTAAGGAAACAGAGTGTAATAACATGGAGACAAGACAGTTCGTATTGGTTTGTATGCGAGACTAGTTTAGTGAGCAGCAATTTTTATGGAGAAGTTTATTGTTTTTATTATATTTGACTTGTCTTTTACAGGGATGGAGAGGTGGAATCGATAGAATAGATAGAATAGAATAGATAGTTGAATTTAGGTATCTACATAAAATATCGATAAACTTCCATTGTTAATAAATTATGGGGCCATCTGTAACGAAGATGGAAGTACCTGAAGTTGAATGAAGTTCTGCATAATCTAGGCACAAATTGGACGACGTCCCAGAATGGTTCGAAATTGCAAGAAGCTATAATCGCATTAATGGAACTATTAATATACGATTGAATAACATTTTGTCTGAGCTTGTACCATAGTTACGAACAAGGAAGAAGAAGAAGGCGTTTCTCTCTTAAGAGGAATTTTTCGGGTGCTGATGTAAGCGACAGAGGCCGGAGGTAGCCATGTTTACACTTGCTTTCGTGTTGTGTGAATTTGAAGAGGACTCACGAATGTGCTGGGTAATTCGTAATTGAAGACGGGTATCCTTCGTTCCAGCTCGTAGGAGGAAACTTGATCTTTGTTACTTAATAAGTGTAGACTGCGAATGTTTCTGTAAATTCACGATTTTACGATTTGGTCGATGCAAAGAGGAATGTAAAGAAACCTCATTATCTCGATGAACGCTGATGGACATTCAACATTGTAGCAGCGGATTAAATTTCTGTTGTAATTTATCGAACAGGTTCAAAATGGAAGACATTATAACAGAAATATTCCAAACATTTTGATGAAGAATAGGGTGTCAGAAATGAGGAATGAAAAACTAAAAAATGAATAAATGAAAATTGAAAACTAAAAATTAATGAACGAGGAGTGAAGAATAAGAAATGAGAAATAAGAATTGAGAATTGAAAATTGAGGGATATGGAGTGAAGGATAAGAAATGAAAAATAAGAATTGAGAACTAAAAATGGAGAAATGAGCAACGAAAAATGTCTGAATCATTTTTAAACTGCAAAAGCATACCATACATTCTCTATTTCAAGCAAATATTTTTGACAGAAAGATGATTAACTAGCCAACGAAGGGAGCACAAATTAAACCTTCCGACTAACGAAAACGACACACGTTACGATATCCATGGAAACTACGGAATCAATAGGATACGCGAACGATCCGCGGAGAACGCGGGACCGTTTACGTAAATCCGTTTTTCATAGCACGGCTCGTTTGCCTGCGACGTTGTAATCCACGAGGCTGAGACCTTGAAAAACCGATCTCGCTGCGAGACGTCGTTTTCCGACGCGCGTCTAGACCGTCGCCGTAGGCATGCTATTTTTCGTAATATTTTCCCGCGACATACTCGTCGGATTCGTCACGCGATATGACGGATTGACGTTCATTTCAATTCGTTGCGAATCCGTTCGGAAATATATGGCTCTGATCGATAAGCTTGCGCGGCGGTTCTCGTTTAACGAGCTTCTCCCAGTATATTATAATGATTATCCACTAAGAACATTGTCATACACGATTCGTTTGTAAATATTGACAACAGCGGAGAATAATATAACAAGAAACTCATTTAATTCCATACTAACTAAACTCTGGAATCTAACAAATTCCAATAAACTATCAAATACATATTTTTCGTCTATTTCATAAAATCGATGGTTAATCGAATAATTATATCTCGCCTTAAAGACTTTGAATAATTCAAACTACAGTAACGAGCGAAATGTTCGAAACTCTCGTCGTTTACTCATCAACGAATCGTACAAACGCCAGTGCAACGAATATCATTTTAATTCGCTTCCGCCTAAAGTTTAAAATTTGCGAGACTGTCCGGCGACAACAGATTGAAGGCGACTAATTATTTTCATCAAGACACAGCATCCACGTTCGCAAGAAATCAACCGGGTTTATTGGACAACTCAATAACAGTATTACCAACGTCGCCGCCTTGGACTGGCGTTCTTATTGGCTGGTTGAAACAGTCCGACGCTACATACATATATGGTTAACCGGTCGCTCGCGGGCGCGGGCGCGCACCGCGATTAACAATTACAGATAATTGCGATTAACCGGTTGGTGGGATAAATAAAGCGACTCGTGGCTAGTCTCACGATAAGCAATTTCGGCTGGAATTGAAGGTGGGCCGGCGCGTTTGCCACTGAAAATATCGAGAACTGTTGCCCGCCACGCCGCTACGCAGAGAACACGACCTTCGTCGCAGTCCGAGATAATGATCGACGCCGTTGCTCAAACCAATCCCGGCCGTCTCAAGGTTCACCTATTCAGTTTCAATTAAGCGTAGACGTGTTTTTGAAATCAACCTCGCCCCTGGTGACTCAACGCGAAATGTTAGGCCGGACACGATTTCGGCGAGATCGCTGATGCGGCGTTTTAATTGAAGGATCACATTAAACGATCGATAAGCAAATATTTTAATCCCATATAAGAAACTTACTTAAATAAGAGCAACGCCACTGAATGAATCGTGTGAGTCGTTGACTGGTCCGAACGATTAATTCTACCTTTTTATATATTTTCAAGTTTCAGAGTTAAAATACATTTTGATGTGATTTATATGGAGTTTGATCGAGGGACTAAGTTGAGTGATCAGTAATAAATATTATAATTTAAAATAACGAATTCTTTTCACCAAGAGCAATATTTCTGAATGAGTCGTATGAGGTGTTTACAGATAAAAATAATTAACTCTACTCATCTCGTATACTCTACTATTATAATGGAACTTTTCTACTCTTTAGTTCGAGCGATTAATTACTTCAGTGAATGAACGGCTCACACGTGCGCAATGAAATCCATTTAACCGGCCGAAGTCAAAAATACCACTCGAACGGGTTAATTCGCGTACCATCGATCGGTAGACACTATTTCCGCGAGATTCCTGACGACACCATGATTCATGGAGCAACGTTGCACTATAAATATGATGAAAGAAAGGATGAATGAAATCTCAACATCCACGTCACGCTTCGTGTTCTTCCCCTATCGCGTCGTATCGAAATACACCGATGAATTTCAAGAACACCGAACAAAAGACTCAGAGGATAATCTAGTTTGCAAAAAAGCCATGGTCTCGCAATAAATTATTTCCAAAGTGCACCTTGTACTATCAGCAAAACATAAACACGAACGAAGGCACATTTCATCTCGTCTACGCGCACGAGCGACGAATTAATTCCAATTACGGAAATGGAACTGCAAAAATCCCAATTACCCCTAAAACATCATCAGCTCGTATTTCATCTGGCAACAAGCCCCGATTACAACGATAACAACAAAACGACGAGGAACAACAAGAACAAGAAAGAGTAAAAGAAAGGAAACAAGACACGTACCTTTCGGTAGCGGATCAACGCTGTTCTGGGCGGAGAATTCCCCAAGGCCGAGCGTCCGATGTTGCTGATGATGATGATGATGGTTCTGGGGAGGCGGCGATGCCTCCCTGACGCAGCCCATCAGAGTTAGAGCGCCTCCGACGCCACCGCCCCCGCCTCCGCCACCGGTGGCGGTGCTCGTGGACATCCTGCTGGTCTGAAACACCCCGAAGAACCAAGCCGCCACGTAAGACTCTCTGACCCGGTGGTACCATGCCGCGAGAAACGAATTCTCCGCTCTCTTCCAGCTCTTCCAGCCATCCATCGTCACCAACAGTAGCTTCACCGGCTCTTTACAATCGATTTCTACACGACTAGATCGACGAGTCCCAATTTTCCCGCCGCGCCGGCACCAGACGCACACCTGTGCACACACGAAAAACGCGTGGCGTGGACGACCAGCGTGCCCAGAGCAATCCCGAGAGCTATCGATCCGCGCCAACTGACCTTACTCCCCGTTCAAGCCGACCTTGCTCAACGCATCCTCGCACTGTACCTATTTACCAGCTTCCAACGACCGGTTCCTCCGGGAACCCTTCTGACGCAACGTACAAAGAAACTCCTATGTACTTCGATCTCGGTCTTTTTCGTACACCAACCGAAAAATATACCAACGAGGCGGCAGGGTTCAAAGTCACGACCAGCGAGAACCCACCGCCGCCGTCGCCGGAGCACGACGGGATTCCGGCGATCGTCTTTCGGCCACTGGATCGTTGTGTAACACTGGGACAGTTCCGTTACGAAACTCCTCCGCGTCGTTCCCCTCTAGCTTCCTGCGCGCACTCTTCTCTCCGGGTTTCTCCCGGAGGGCAAGGTCACTCGCTCTGGCGTCCCATGGCAGGGGAATCCGATGGGAACGGGGAAAAGAGAAATCGAGTCTTGGAGATCTGTAGGAGGACACTTAGCTGAATTTGAGAAGAGGGTGGGTGGATGGATGATAACCGCTAGCGATGAAGGGATGAGGAAGAGGATGCACGGTGTCGGTATCGGTGTCGGTGGTGTCGGTGTCACTGTGTAACCGTTCGTTACGTTACGTTACGCCCGTGTGCGTGTAACCTCCGGGGTTCCCCGTTGTCTGCGGCACGCTCTCGACGGTAGACGGACACCCGATGCAGCAGCCTCTCTCTCTCGCCGGTCTCTGTAGCAATGGGTCAGGAGATGGTCTCCATGGTAACCGCAGCGTGCGAGGGGTGCAATCGAGAGAGAAAGAGGAGCAGAAAGGGAGCAAGAGAGAGAGAAGAACAGCAGCAGCGGCGGCGGCGGCAGCAGCCAGCAGCAGCAGCAGCAGCAGCAGCGTTGTCGTCGTCGTGCATCGATTGCACCCTCGGCTGCCGGATGACCCTGACCTTCGCACAGCTGACGACCACCACGTCGACGCCGCGTGCTGCTGCGCCGCACGGGACTGGCAAGGTTGGCCGGGATGGCGAAATTAACGCTGCCGGTTCTCGTTAAGGTATCGTCGACGGATCGCGTTACGCGCATGGAACACCTTTTGACCCCGGGGCTAGCTGGGTTGATTTAGACGCATGTGCTTGGAGCACTCTGTTATTGGATTGATGTGGATCGGAATGTGATAATTGGACATTCTTGAGGGAGATGTGGTGAAACGAATATGTTCCGTTATGGGAATATTAATGTGTTATAATCTATGACTTATTATTGTTGTAATGTACTACAGTATATAGTATATTGTAATTATATTGTATTTAATTAAATTATTGAATAACATTAAATACAATATATATATACATATATATCATATCATAATATAATATAATAATCATAATATAATTTAAATCGAATTTTGAGCGTTTGGAATATCAATTACGTTAGCAAAAGAATAAGATAAACGATGAAATAATGAAAGTAGGTTTGCTGAACAGTGCTCCGAGGGTTAAATTCTCCTTTTCTACCATTCTCCGAGGCAGTCTGACGTTTTCTGTTCCCGTTTTTCCGCTCCTTCCATATTCAAGCGGATAGGTGCTACCGTGACCCGGAAAAGAGGATTAAAGCCACTGCCTTTTCCAACTTAATGATGCTTTGCGTTTGAAATTGTGCGCCGCTCTTTAACGTTTTATTTCTCCATTTTTCGATAGCGAGTGTAGCAAGAATGAAGATTTCGTTGTAAAAATTCATTTAGAAACGTGTCACGCATATTTAGATAGATGAAACCTACATTTATATCTTCATGGAAAATTTGAAACTTTTCTTTCTCGATAATTACCTGAGAAAACAGTCTTCAATTGTGGCTATTTTTAGATAGCCGGGTGTACGTCCACTTAACCTATCGAGCTTACCCTTTGGGCTTCGAACGTCATTGATCCTTGACGTCAATAAATCGACGTGTTCGTGAAAATTGCTTCGGAGTTATCCAGCGAGTTTATTAGAACTGAAGCGTGGTCTTTCGACGAACTACCGATCCAAAAATTCAATCAATTCCAAGATACTGGTATTCATCTCTTAGAGTATCTTTAGATTTCATTGAAATTATAAAAAAATTTTTTTTTGAACTAGTGCTATGAATGCATATAAATTTCATTTCAAGAATCTGATTCCTTTCGAAAAGAAACCTTTGATAGACTCATTATAACGTAAATTAGCTGTTGATCGTGAAAGCAAGGTGCAAAGTGTACGAACGAAAATAACCTCTAGACTAGGGGGATGATCCATTGACGCTGATTCTCGTTCGAGAGGGTAATACGAGCGTCTTCTAATCAAAACGCAACTAGAGAAGATCGCGTGTCCGATCATAGAGCTTCACCTTGTTTGCGTTGGAGACGGTGTTCTTTTAATTTCCGACTGGCACGTCATGCGTTGCGACAGCAACACGCTTTCTATATTTAGATACCGCTGATACCTGGTCTAACAATAAACAATTTCTTCTTTTTTGATAAGGTTGATATATTTATTCAAGAATATCGAAGGTCAAGTCTATTCCAGTAACATTTATCTTTCCTCAACGCCCACACGCAATAATAAAAAAAAAAGAAAGAGTACAAAGGGATTTCTTAATATCAATCACCTGCTAAGACCTTACAAAAATGTGCAACGTCTTTTCATCATTTTGCGAAGGATTTGACTTTCCATAGGGTAACTTCACTAATCTCTATAAATTTATGTAACATCATCATATGATACATAAAATCAAACAAGAACCTTTCAACACAATTTTTACTTAACCACTAAAACCATCGCCATACAAAAAGCAATAAAAATACTTCGTTAGGAGTGCCATCTCACGAGATGCATTCGTTCAATTAGAAAAATCAAACACTGTGATAATCTACCAAAGAAAATACTGCAAATACAGCGATCATCAACGAACACGTTAACCAAAGGGCTCGGTTGTTAAGAATAACCAAGCGGTTCATCTACGACGGAAACCATCGAAACGAGAATCAACCGATCCCGCAGCGAAACGCAGTTGCGCGAACGATCAACAGCCTCTGTTGCCTTTCTAATCAGGAACTCAAGCTGTCTGAATTACACCATCCCCCGGGAATCATCGTGAAACTCGGTACCGATGCACGATAATGAACACAGACGTTAATTAGAAACGTTACTCGCACCTACACGTCGGCCAACCATCCAGGGTTCTCGGCAATCGGGTATCTTGTTCCGTGGAAGAACTCCTCCGTCGTTCGGGGAACTCGTTAATACGATGATCCTCGAAGATCAAACTGGCTTTGCATTCGTGATCGCGGTCTCCGCGCCGTGCACGCCGTTGCCTCTCCCCGCGAACGGACAGAATGCTCTCTACGTCATTGCACTAGGTCGTTAACGAAGTTCTAAGCGTCCTTTGTCGTGAAAATATTCCTTAATACCGGTGGTGATACCTTTCCTCGTCGTATTAAAGAGAATCACTTTATTCTTAAGAGTATTCTGGTGCAAAGCGAAACCATTTTCATTCTAAAGGCTTCATACGAGAGGTTTAAACCTTTGACTGTAAAATTAAAATGATCTGACTGTAATTTTTACGTAACAGGTATTTGAGACATGCGATTTACCTTTGACTTTTGTTATATTAGGAAATAAGTAATAGATCACCGCTGGTAGAGCCACGTTCTCGCGGTGAGACTATTGGCTAGCTATAATAGAACACAAGCACGCGATATGGGCCCATAATTATGAAAGTGGTCTAAGTCATATATTATTCTTTGCTTTAATTTAGTTTCCAATAATGTGATGTAAAATAACCGATAAACTCTTTTTTTTAAATCTTGACTTAGACCACTTTTATAATTATGAGCACATATAGCAACTGCCAATTTCTTTAAAAAATTACAACTAAATGATCATTGAGTTAAGCCTTTGAAATAGCTATTCCGAAACTACTAACTATTATTCTTGATTATTTCTTTATTCAATTAAATCGACTGTTAGCCACAGAACGTCGACTCCATGTCGGTTTCCAGTATATAACAAGCTACGCCATTTAGCAATCGGCGCGCTAAGAGAAGAGCGACCCGCAGGACTTAGTTAACGATCTAATAACGAGTTCGCGAGGCAACGGACGGGGTGAAAGTACTGCCAGCCACTTTTCTGCGAGCGTTCCCGACGAATGAGCAGCGGACGCTTGCGCGCGCGCTAATCGAGCTAAGTTCGTTAGATAAAGGCGAGAGATTGCTGCGACCTTGACATAGCTGCCACAAGCTATCCCGCCGGTGGAATAACTTCGCTGCTCGGCATTTAGCGTCTCCCACTCTCATCAAGGCGCAGCCCACGCTTCAATTCCGAGGCTGTTTCTCCGAGGAACGTTTATATCACATCGAATATCGAAGGAATCGAATATCTCACTCACGAAATTATTCGAGTGTTACATGGAAAGCACTCTACCGAGCTCTTTCCCCGAATGTTTATATTATACGTGTTACTCGTTCAGCGAATTATATCTGTGAAACGAAAAGTAATTTTAATGAAATTACGCGCATACGAGGATCGATTAATTTACCACTGAAATACGGAACATTCGAAAAGTGAATCGTTCTTTTATCATTTATCGGTTTATCAGTTCAACCAAGAAGTTAATGATTCTGATTTCCGAATGAAGCATATATCGAATATCAAAATACAATAGGAAATTAGTTTCGTGTTGCACCGAAGAATTGGGAGACAAATAAAAGAAACGGAGATGCTCATTCGTTAGATTGAATCTTTGATGTCCGCCTGTTGCGAAGTAAGAAAACCACTATTTTTATCGGACTTAATTGGTGCGCCGAAGCTTTCTAAGGCAGTAAAAGCCTTCGAACTTGGAGCGTTCCGCCTTCTCGAGGAGCCCGCTGCATTAAGGAACGCTTAATTTTTTATTAACCTCGACACAACTTTCTCGGCGATTTATGCGCCCGGGATAAGTCTTGTCGAACCGTCCATTAAAATGTCGCGGGCAATGTTGGAGGACACTCGCTTCCTAGTGGTACGCTCGCGGATGACGAGGTCACCGAGCAGCGCAATTAACCCGTTGCACTTGGAAAGTGTTTTTTCAACAAATACATTCGTAGTTTTTGTCTTTATTTTATTTTCCTCATTCAGCATCGTGAGGAATCATAGATGTATCAAAGAGCAGAAGTACTTGATTAAGTATCTACAGTATTTCATACATCAATGTTTTATACAAGATTTAAGATTGAATATCAAGATGGTTCGCATCGAACCAACTGACAACTGAGAGTTGGTTCTCAAGTGCAAAGGGTTAACGCCGATACGAAGCATCCTCCTCCGCGCAGGAGGAGAGAAAGCGCGAACACGTGCGCGACTCGCCGATCTGTCCGGGGCTTTAATTGTTTCGTCAAACTCGAAAAGTGAAACGCGCCTTTTATCCACGCCATTAAGGATCGCGGGATTGCTTTTACCATTTACGGTATCTCCCCTTTCCCTTCATCCGTGGATTCATCTGCTTGGTTGCTTGATGCATCTTTTATGAACGCCAATGGGTAACCGTTCTTTTCAATGAACTCGAAGTACGAATTTATCTATAGCGCTCCATTTCTTAAGAAATTTCTAGTAGACGATTCTTATGAACTCTATAATTCCACATTCTTTCTAACATTCGTTCCCTATCATCGAAGGAATGTAGTGCCCTAATTTACAAGAATCTGAGTATACCATCCAATCCATGTTCCTGCATTCCTACTGCACATTTCTGACGAAGAAACATTTGTTTTTAATTTGTAGTTTCCTTTTGTGTCGTAAATCCAGACTTTCATGTCTGAGGATTAACGCTTTCAACTTGAGAAATATTGTTGTTGCGTGTAAAATGTTCTCGTCATTGTTCTTGTGATAAGAGAGATAATTATTCCACAGATAGGTTTAGTTCGATAATCTGTAAAAATATCGCAGTTTCGCTGGATGGTGACGATGGAAGAGAGCTGGAAAATTGGCGCGCCGAACGCTCGAGCCGATTTTCCGTCGATCGGCCGTATGATTGCGCGCTTCCGGTTCCGGCGAACAATTACAGCTGTGCGCGCAACCGTCTATAACGAGGCATCGATTCTCTCATCGCTCAAGTATCCAGCAGCGACGATAGCCCGACAGCGAACCGTCCGCAGCCTCATCCGCTGCCTTTTTTCCCCTCCTCGAGAATAATGCGCCCGTTATATTGCGTTTTTTCCCCTTTCCACCGGCATCTTTTGTCTCGTCTACACGCCGGACCAAGGAAAATCATGCCGAACATAATCTTCCCGCGAACGCGAATCAATATTCGGTGAATTCTGTCGTTTTGCCTGTTAATTGAATCACTTTTCTATCGGTACACCGTGGATACATTTAGAAAAATTCCCGATTTTCTATAAAAACTTTTTAGAAAAACCATTGAAGTTGAATTTTATATACTGCGATAGAAAAAGAATAATAAAAAAGTGTATTATATATGATCGAAATTTTTGCAATATTGTTCTTAAAATACTTTCCCGAAATTTAAGATCCAATGAATTGTGAAAACTGGATGGAAAATAAAAATAAATTAAATTTTCTAAAGATTTCCATATAGGTATAAATGTATGAAGATCCACGGTGCAGACATGAATTCGTCCGATTTAATAAATAAGAATGAAACTTACCGACGGAAAAGAAACAATGAGGCAATGTATTGAGAAACGAATTTATAACCGGTTAAAGTTGAATATTTTATATTCAGGTTCGTTCCAGCCATTAATATTATCATGAAATATTCCGTGAACGTTGTTTGTAAAGAATCGCGAACGAACTTATTACCCAACTCGACACCCGTGTTTTCAATGGAACTTCTCAATTCAACGGTGACAATGCTCGGAGCTGTCCGGAGCTGTTATATTCGAGCGATATTTAAAACGATTCGACCGCTGCGAGTTCCGAGAGCACTGAATAAAATTGTACCGAACCGTGACTGTGGCACAATCGTAACCGCAGCGCGAATAAAGCCTCGTTGTTTGTGAAACCGCGATAAAATCGAAGAGCGTCGCCGCTTACCTTAAATAGGAACCGACATGATAGATACGGTTCGTGTTGCCGTGCCCCGAATATCTGGAAACCAAACAAAAGAAGATTAGTATATGTTTGACGTTTCAATTCTTCAACATCCTAACAAAACGATCTTGCACTTAAATGTTAGATTTGATTGATCGGTCCATTATTTTGACAAATCAATCAATTTATGTTCAAAATATCTACGGAACTTCAAATTTTCTTTTCTCTTTCGTAGAATTAATCACGTTGAAAAGTCAATCGCATAATTCCATTTAAAATCTCGAGAACTTCAATTTTCATTTTCCCTTTAGTAGAGCGAATCACTTTGATAAACGAATGTCTCAATTTCAATCGAATCCTTTACGAAACATGGAACGATTCACTCTAACAAAAAAAAATAAGAAAATCTAAACTTCCACAGAGCATCAAACGAAATCTAGCCCTCCGTTTATCGAACTGATTAACTCTACAAGATGGAAAATAAAAATGAAATTCTAACACTAAAACTACCGACCAGTTAAATTGACTTCCTGAAATTCCTCTGTAGAAACACGAGTGCGTGTATTGAGACTTAAATTGATTCACAATTCAGTTTTCGTATTGCTAAATCAATTTCCTGAGTAATTGCTCAGAGGAAAATCTATTATCTTTTTAATAATTGCAAAAAGGAGACATAAGGAATGGGTCATTTCGACTCGTCTGGCAGTTTCAGTGTTAAGCCACTCAGTTCAACACAAATAGCTCAATCCCATTTAAAATCTCTACGAAACTTCTTTCACTGTTCCTTCACAGAGTTAATCACTTTGACGAACGAATGGCTCGTACCGCATGTCGAGTTGCCAGCGATTCCAGTGACGTTTTCGTTGCGCCGCGAAATCATAATAAACTCGCGGGAACGAAGAAGAACGCGCGCGGTTTCCACTCGTCCGCTCGTTTTCCTTTTTTCCCGGCGTGCGCCCCTTAATCCCACATCATCCCAGAATTAACCGGATCAGCGACGTAGGCGCGTGCACACACGCGTTTCTGACCCGTTGCTGCCGCGTTTCCCGTCCGTCCGGCGTCCGCCGGCTGCATCCGTGCCCCGTTCGTTCACTCTTTATAAATAGACGCTTGAAATTCTGTCGCGTCCGGGCGTGGCGGCGGCGGCCGCGGCCGGGGATCCGCGGGGATGGATCCTAGACGCGGAATAGATCGCTCGCCGCGATCCATTCATTAGACCCGCGCGTTCCACGTACCGGCGATGACTGACTCGCTCCCTTCTCCTTACAGAAACGCAGCTACACCCTCGAAAAACGAACCCCATTCATCACGCACCCGAAATTGGAAACTGGAGTGACGTCGTCAGTCGAAATTATGCAGCGTGCACACTGTGGCTCGGGATTTTTCAATATTTATCCAGTGGCAAAATTAATTCTTGAACACTAGATTTACAGAACACGTTAGTTTGAGGGAAATTGAATATTTTAAACATTATTTCGTTACAGTTTCAGTCGATTTTGATTGATGCAATTATGCGAATTTATATTATGATGCTCTGTTCTTGATACACTTACTTCCACGATATATATGAATAAACGTGTAATCTTTTAGGAAGGATAGATAAAGTGTAGAATCGTCCGTAAATCGAGCTTTAATAAATGCCATAGAGACAAGCTTCTATCGAAAATCGACAATTTTGTACAAATGATTCAAAATATTTTGTTTGAACAAGGAATTGATTTTCCTTGATTTTTAGTGTTTAGAGAGAATACGTATTTATAGACAAATGGTGTCTAGTACATCTGAAAATTCTCGTTTGAAAAGTGAGAGCACACGGAGAAAATAGAATTATTAGGATTATTGAAAAAAAAGGTAAAATTCTAGAAGTATTTATATTCCCAGTTTTTCTGAGAGATTGATATTTTAAATTTGGATAGTGGCGTGGATGTCGTTCGGAAACTTAGGTAGTTACAAGTAAATCGGTTTAATTATTCGGTGATGTTAGCGTTAACTTCCGAACTGGCGTTCGTTTCGTCTAGCTGACGTCACCCATCGCATACACACGGCTCACGAAATTTGCAACACCTCGATCAAGTAAACGAAGCTTCTCGAGGCGACCGAAATTTTCAGGCGAGCGTAAATTCTAGCGGAAGCTTCCTCCTCCGGCGCTGCATTACTAAATCACGCGGGCAGAGCGCAATTTACATGTAGAATGCCTCTCGTATCTTCGGCTCGGACGTGTTTTATCGTTGAATAATTCGCACTGGACCTTCGAGGCGTGAATCTATATTAATTCGGCGACTGGAATGGTTCTCAGGATCCGCTGCATATTTCGATCACCGAGTCATTGTAGTTTGAATCGATACCGAGTGATCGGTCCCTTCGATTTGAATCGGATTCCAGAAAACTGGTTTTTAAGATTAATATCGGTTCAAACGAATATTTTCTTAAAAACAAGTTATAACTTCTAGTACGGTTAAAGAAGACTGGAAGAAGTTCTCTGACGAGTTCAAATTTCTACACATGCAACGCTGCACTTGAAAAAATACAAATCCGTTTCTTCAAATGGAACTTTAATCCTTCGTGGACGAGGAATTCGAAGGCTTTAGACATCTTTTCTATAGAAAACTAAAATAGAAATCCATCTTTGAAATGTTAGAAGATAACAAAGCTATATATTGATCTTATAGTCACATAATGAAATCCTTAGACAGCAACTTTCGATTCTAAATATAATGTGACCAATAGTAACATTATAAATAACTCTGTTGATATAAGTGATTAAACATAAAACGAATCATAAAAATCATAACTTACGCATAGATTTACAATGCAATCGTTACCTAACACTCTATCAAAGTTCAAAGCTTCTACCACAAACTTCGAGACACCCGTTAGAGATGTAGATCCAGACAACTCGAATGTTTCACTTTTTCCCCGAAGGATTTACGAGGAAAGGTGACGCGTACTTCAGTAGCGGAGCCCGGAAGTGACGGAGGACAGAAGAACGCATCCCACCCCGTGCGTTCCTTTTTCCCGAAGCTGCGCGCCGGCTAGACCTGCTTATTTAAGAAACGTCTGCTTCGAAACGAGTACCATCGGGCGTATTTTCGTACCCGGTACTTCTACCAAGGTAGAAAATAGTTGTGGGTTGGTTCAGCGCTCAAAGGCCTCTTTGATTGAATCGTGCGCGGTGGGTGCTGGTTCAATCTTCTTCCCCGCCCCCTTTTTCTTCCCTAGTCATCGTCAACTTTACACCCGCCGCGCAGTCGTATCTTTCCACGAAACCATCGTCTCAAAAGACTAAATTTTCTGTTGGAAACCTCTCCTACAGAATCAATTATCAGATTCCGAAATCGATCCAATCGAATTTTCGTCGAAGTTACATAAAAAAGTTATATACAAAGTTTCTTCGTTGTTATATTATAGTCATTGTTATTTACTTAGTAATTCGTAATGTTAAATTGAATAAGAATTGAATGGAACCTAAATAATTTCAATAACAACAAAAAATAATACTGTTAAAAAATGAATTACAGGACCTCGAATAATTGAGTCACTATTTATCGCAGTTTACATCGTTCGAAGTTTTGGCTATCCACGAAATCGATATTTCAGATCCATGGATTGTACCTCAGATTATACCGAATATCTCAAACATGCTTTAAAACTTTACGCTCAGACTCTCAGTCACCAGTAGATTTGATACAGAAAACTATAATCTCGTATATAACATTTTACTCCGTATAATACATCGATATGCGGAATATTGAAATAAAATAGCCTTGTTTCTTAGCTTACGTGCATTTTCTCGTTTGTTAGTCTCGAAGAAAGTCGTTTACATCTCATTCAGAAATGTTGCACATTTCTAGTGAAAAACTTTTGAGTGCAAAGGGTCAAAACATTCCTTCTCTACTAAACAACAAAAATTCAATTGAATTATTATCATTTCGAATAAAACCATCTGAAAATAAATACTTCGCGTCCCTTTACTTTCGTTACACATGGTGCATTCCCTAAGAACCGCGCATCCTCTATCGACAATTGAATCCGACTGTTTGCGAGTGGAAAAGTCTATTCCGTTCCGTGGAACGTCGGATCGAATTGCGCGCTGGAATCACGGTAGGTTGGAGCAGAAAAAACGAGAGGAACGAGAGAACTCTGATTTTCCTCGAATTGCTACGGAAAATCCCGCGACGTTTCGGGCCTGTCCTCGGATCGTCGCGTCAGTCGACGGATCCATCGTCGCCCTCGTCCACGAGGAAACAATTTCGCGTCGGGCTGGCTCCCCGTCGCACGACGATCCAATTTCCGCGACCATTTTGTCATTAACTCGAGAAAGGCTGCGCCTCTTTTATATATATCGGTGGCCCGGCGCGGCCAGGGGAATCTAATTTTCGTTGATTGATACAAAGGACGTGGAGCGAGCCGCGATAACCCGAGACGTTACTCGGCTCGATTGCCGCGCGATGGCGGGCGGGGCGGCGCGTTCCTCGTCGGATACGGTGTGTCAGTGAGTCATCCCACAGCCGGGGACACACGAGTCAACGAAAATTCCGTGGACGCGGCCTCGTTTTTCGAGCAGCTCGGGAAATAACGTTTCTACTACCGAGAACTGATTCCTCTGTGTTCTGTCGGTAGATATACAGCAGCGTTCAAAAGTTCCTTACTCTATTGACTTCAAAGCACAGCAATGAACCCTTTGCGATCGGTGCCGCCGCAGTGGCAACATTTAACATTTCTTTTCAAAATCGGTGTCGCCAGTATGGCGGTATTATCTCTTTTTCTGTGTACACTGTTATTTTACGATCGGGAGGTATTGTAAGTATTTATTCTTCTCTACAGTATTTATATTCAATGAAATATATTAACTTCAAAAAATAATCTGTATTTTTCAATATACGTATATAATATTTATTATGAATCACATATAGAAAAATAATCTTAAAAATATATATTTGCTTCGACTAGTTCGTGCTGCCACTAAGAAAATGTGCCGATCGTAAAGGGTTACTAATAGAGAAATAATAATTATTTTGAACTCGGCAGAATTCAATGATATTTTATTAACTTCTATTTGAGAA